TGATACCAAGATCAGGACCAATCACGAATCCAGTATCCTCCGTTAATATTGCTAGAAAGTCAAATATGTCAAAGTATCTGAAACCCATATATTAAACTTATATATATATATATAATTTTTCGCTAAAAAACATCCTAAGAATCCAAATTTTATTGGGTACCTTTCTTTAAAAATAAAGATAAGGCAAGAGGCCAGAAATTGTTACATAGAGTACAATCGTCCAAGATTGTGCTATAATCTCGAAAAGAGTCGAGAATATATCTCACTGGTACCTCGCTGTGTCTTCAACGTCTGGGAGGGTGCTGGATAAATCTGAAAGTTCGTAGCGATACAGTTTGGACGTAAAAAGCAGAGATGGAGATGGAGATTCGAGATGAGGACGGATGAGGTGACCCGGGGCTCCGGAGTAGCTGAGGATCGATACGAACGGCGCGCGCTGTGTCCCCGTCTGCCATTGGTCATCGCGGAGGCTAGACGTGCCTGGTTTCTCCTTTCCACCTCCTGGTTCTCCTCCTGGACTGGCTCGACTTCTCCTCAACTTCTCCTACATCTCCTCTGGCACGTCTGTCCGAGCACTCTACCCACCTACCAACCTCCCTTATCCTCCTCCTGGAGGACCATCTACCTACTGCACCTTCTACCATCACCTACCCATGCCAACCCTTTTCGCACGTCCTCCAGGACTCTGCTGAACCAGTGCATACCTCAATCCTTGATTACGTGCCAAACAGGCACTCAGTGCTTCCTGTCTTATCAGATGGTACAGACACGTGGTCCGCACCTTGAAAATCTCCTATTAGATCCTAGCAAAAAGAACGTTCGCGCAAACTCTAGCTCGTTCGTAGACGCTGCAAGCGCACATGTCTCCGTGCCTGTATACGAACACACGTAGACTGGTGCTGGAATCTCTAGCAGTAAATCCCCGCGCAACTTGTCCTACACACGGGACGCGTGCATAGTCACGCGTTAATGTGCACATCGCGTGGACGGCACTGCTCCCTTTGATTTATCACCCTGGAGCAATATCGATGGAACCCTGCGGTACTCACGGTAGTCTCCATCCTTGATAAAAGATACTCCACGGCTGAGAAAAGATTCTGGATAGATTATGTACCAAGAGAGTGTCAGTTCGCCGGTAGGCACCTCGTTGGTTGCTACACGGTACCTGGTAGATCTACGGAACACATCAGCAAGAGATCTCGGTTGGACTGGCATGTTAGGGAGAATCTCAGTGAAATGATTAAACGATTGATTAGAAGGGAGGATAGGGTCCAGGCAAGGACGTGTGGCAGGAAGCATTGTTACCACCGTGTAGGAACGTGCATAGCATGCTCAGGCTTCGTGTACTGCGGAACATAGTTATCCAGCTACGTTGTACCGAGTGTCCTGGAGGTTCGGTGGGGCAGGAACACTTGGTATGGATGTGGATGGTGTATATGAGAATATGGCGGAGGTGAACGGGACAGTCATGAGTCCCACGATGACTGTCAACGCGCAGACCGCAAAGCCATCAAGTATATGGTGAGCCAAGACATAAGGTGAGACAGAGCCAGAGTCTCATACCACGCTCGGAAATGGCTACTGAATATGGATGAGTCGAGAAGCGGACACACTCTCATGCTCACGACGGAGACATAATTGCCTTAATTAACGCTAATATGTTAAATCGCGACGGTTTCCTTTGTCCGCTATTCCGAGGTGCTCGTATGATGCCACCGTTAAGAACCATCCAGTATTCCCAGCACCCTGTGACACATTGACGACAATTAAATATTTACCAATGTCGAAGGAAAGGAGGAAAAACATAATGAATTATCACGTGTGGGAACGTGTGATGAAAGATTACTCAAATTCACTATAGGCCTCGGTACATCAGCTTCGGATATTTCATCTGGCCAATGGCTTTGAAAGCCAAGTCTCACTGTCAAAGGATTCGCCAGGGTACCTCGAACTGCGTTGCAGAATGCAGATACATAAATTCATGAGCAAGTAACAACCAGTGACGCCACGCTAGCTTCCGTGCCGCGCAGCAGCAATCGTATTCATGAACCGACACGGTAATTAGGGACACTAGCTCGCCTCGCAACCGGAAGTCACCTTAAGAATCCTCCCTCGGCGATGGAATATTGCCGGAAATACTTATGCATTTCGTTCGTTTCGTAAGAAACGCCAGGATTTCGTAGTTGGGACGGGGCACGGAAAAAATAAAAGATCTACTGTAGATCAATTTATTCTTATATACAGGTTGTTACAAAATATCAAATCACGCAAGGTATTTGCGACCTCATTAAATGCCAATTGTACAGATACGAACCGAGACTCTCCTTTTCTCTATTGCCTTAAGTGGAAATGCAACCTCCAGAACTGTACCGTGTATATTATATAGGTGGAAGCCAATTATTTGCCAAGTCGAGCCGAAGGCAATGATAACTTCAGGCAGAGCATAATTTTGAGCACCACGAGCCGCGCAGTACGTAACTCTGCCGAGATATAATGAAGATATAACCGAGCCGACTGCCGAGACATCTTTACGTCCTCAGTGCTTGGCTTGTTACTTGGTTATGGCATGGGCTACGATACTTCGATGCTACAGTCCTCGAATCTTCGCTGTCTCTCTCTCTCTCTCTCTCTCTCGCTCTCTGTGCGGACGTTGCTGTTAATCAAAAGCTCGATGCTACAGTCCTCGAATCTTCGCTGTCGAGCATAATTTTGAGCACCACGAGCCGCGCAGTACGTAACTCTGCCGAGATATAATGAAGATATAACCGAGCCGACTGCCGAGACATCTTTACGTCCTCAGTGCTTGGCTTGTTACTTGGTTATGGCATGGGCTACGATACTTCGATGCTACAGTCCTCGAATCTTCGCTGTCTCTCTCTCTCTCTCTCTCTCGCTCTCTGTGCGGACGTTGCTGTTAATCAAAAGCTCATGCCAAGCATTGACACTAACGATCTAACCGACACAGGACCAAGTATCGTAGAGACTGCCATAGCTGATTGATATCAAATCATCGGTACAATATTCCATAGTTTGTATTGTCAAAATTCAAATTTAATTATCATTAATGCCGCCGATCGTTAAATCCAACGAAATGAAATGGCATACAGGATTTTTCAAAATTTCATATTAAAGTATGCGTTCCTACTATACCAGGGCTGTTACCTGTGCCTGTACATTTTCATTTGCGAATTGCAAAACTATAGTGGATTTTAAAAGGAACCTGGCAAATATAGTATATCCGACTGTTTGAGTCGCTGGACGGTTCACCGGTTGGCAGGCGCGGGGCCATTCATGGTGTTCATTTCAATTCTGGTTTAATTGCACGCTGCTCAATATTGACGAGTTAAATAATTGTCTTTGCTGAAGAGTATCGTGCTGTTGCATATATGTTAAATAATACCATCGGGATATTCATGGTTGTACCTGAATATATACCAGTACGTATATTATAATGACTTTTAATGGAAATATGAGGATCAATAAATATCGTAATACGGAAAATAGTCATCCTGGATATAATTCCAATTGATTGTATAAATATCGTATATCTCTCAGGTATAAAATAATGCCAAGATGAAAAATCGTATTTTTTTTTTAAAACCAATTCTTGTTTCTATGAGAGCGATGATTCTTGTTGTTTATAATGTACGGAGAGGTTACTCGTAGCAGATGGTTTAACGAGTTTAAGAAAAGGTTAGAATCTATTTCGGAAGGAAGTACTTTGGTCCGGATAGGTAACAACACGTGCTACGCCCGCGTTTACTTCAGACGCGATCGGCATTATAATCCTATTACAGATTTACTTCTTTTTTAGCATATTTAAATCTCTCTCTTTCTCTTTCTTGCTGTCTATCTTTTGCTTTGCTCCGCTTGCACATCGACACTTCTTTACCGACTCACTCTATTCTCGTATATCCCTTATTCTCTCCCGTGCTCTCTTTTTCTCTTCTTCTTCTTCTTCTTCTTCTTCTTCTTCTTCTCTTTCCCCTACCTTCCCTCTCATCCTTCTCAACTGTACTCCGGCCAACAACCTGCCCTGACGGCTGCGCGTAAAATTGGCCGGAACGCATTTTTCCATTAGGCCGTTGTTGAGCCGCATTACAAATTGCAGGTATATGAACTACTCTGCGAGCAGGTTGTCCTGGAAAAAAGAAGCAGGACCTACCCCTACTCTCGTTGATCCAGATGATTTTATCCTGTCCTTCCTTATATCCATCCTCAATGCACGTGCAGGACTTTGACTATGTACAGTTTTTCAGACCTCATTAGAGATGCTATAATATTTTACATCACATTGCACTCCTGTCTCAGAAGACTCCTGAAGTGCGTCATAAAGAAATGACTGCGACAAGTAAGGGTTAGGTTAGGTTCGATTAAAAGGACTTCCATTAAAACTTAAGACCGACGGCTCCTAAATGAACTAAGTGCGAATGTCGTTAGGATGAAATAGCTTCATCGTGGGAATTAGTGGTTTTAATATTACATCGTAAGTTATTTCGTGGTAAAAAAAAAAAAAAGAAAAAGGGAACATGCTGAACCCCAACCCTCAGATTTTGCGTCCTGTTCGTAACGGGTCGTACGCCCTATCTAAGGCTAAAAGGATTCGGCAATAAACAACGTTGAGTCTTGAAATTACGAAGGGCGTCGCAATCTGCATAAAAATCCCCCATAGCGCTACTACCGAACAGGGGTTAGTCCAATGGATTAGCGATGTACCACCATAGAAAAAAAAAAAAAAAAAAAAAAAAAAAAAAAAGAAACGAACTACTAGCATTACTGGTTAATTTTTTATTTTATTTTATTCCATGTCTCACCGTTCATTACGGTCGGTTGCCATTTAATTTTTATATCAAGCCGAGAACGATGTTTCCATGGGGTCTGAAGGTTCTCTCTACTATAATTCCCTAGGGTTTTCTAAAGAACACATGAAATCAATTACGTGTTATTGTGTCGGTCGAATTTGATCGCGATATCTAAGATTGAATTTTTTGTCTGTCCAGAAACAACAAAAGGCGAAGAAACTGGTCCACGACGCTGCGCAAGAAGCACGACTTATCCTGGGTAAGTGTATCTAATTACCCTGGCGTTTACGTCAACGTTTACAGTGATTTACGGCAAAATTGTGGCGGGCGACCTTCGCCCGGGACGAGAGCTAAGCGGTTCGCGGCTAAAAACTCTGAAAGATTCGGTCATTTATCACGGCGGCGTCTTGTGGTGCCTCGAGGCTCAAGGAAGAATGAAAAGGGGTGGAATATAATCCGTTGGACAGACTAATCGCGGACTAACTATCCACATATTATCTAGAATAATTTCACGTTACACTGGGCTTCGATGAACGCCCTCGTTCTCTGTATACCTCGACATTGCAGAATATTGTATACACGATACAACGCAGGTAGAGCTCCTGGAAAGAGACCTCACGTGGACGTGAGAATGGACAATCGTTCGAATAGGGCCCTTTAGATTTTGAAAAAAGTGACCAACATCGATTTCTGATTTTGTACAAAGTAATGACGAAGGGGAACGATACTGGGGACGTAAACTACGTCATGCGGAGTTTGAGCGCACACCTACGTGTCAGGGGTGCACACATAACGCCTCGAAATTACAGAGTGCCAGTGGTGCCAAGGTCCATCCATCACAGGGTCCGTAGGTCCCAGAGAGACCCAGGGAACCGCCCCGGCGTTTAAGTCGTTAGCAATTTCCTGCACGGGACTATTTTCAGGCCCAAATTCCATATGGTCCGATAATGTCCGATAATATAACAGGCCATCCTCCCATACACTCCCTCTCTGTCTTCTTGTAATCCCTTTGAATGCCCTTTTTCCAAATTGAGCTACCTTCTTTTAAATTTAATTTATCATCCACTCGCAACATCCCGCAGTCCCTTAGAAAAATCAAAGCAACGATTGGCACAATTCTTTTCAGACTTTAATTAACGTTTTATTATTATTATCCAACTATAGTTTTATTTCACGTGACGTATTACACGTTTTACCGTTAATCACAAAGCTTACTTGTTACTCTGCTAACCTGAGTGTAATCGTATTAGTCATGCCATCGTTGATTCATACGATTTGTTTTTATCAACTGTGAGAAACGATGCTTCTACGCTTCCATAGAAAATTGTAATCGCTGTGCGCCTTTTAACCTCATCTTTTTTTATTCGCTTAGTGCGTTTCGTAATAACACAAACGCATTTACCAAGAGACAGTGTTTCGAGTCTCTGCAAAGTGGGTACAAGTAGGAATAGGCCAGATGGGATATACGCCAGGCTAAGTGTTACCACGGAATACTAGTAGCAGTTTTCGTGCGCCGCCGCTTGGCGGCAGCACCTATTAGCTTATTACGAGATCCTGGACTCACACGATAAACTTCAGTTTACTGTTCGTTGATAATGATAATTTTCAGATCAAGATACGTGCGTTCGGATGAAGAGTGCGTCTACTCAGACGATAGTCGTTGATGTGAATTCTGGTAAAAGATCGTTAGATATTTGTCAGGATAAAGTTTTGAAGGTTGTCACATCTCAGAGATCCTGTGCAGATGAGAGCAAGTGGAATCTAGATGATCCTGCACCTCAGTGGCTGATAGCGGAAGCCCTCAATAAGGAACGTGAAGTTAGTACATTAATGAGTAATTTGTTCAATAGTATTCATACAAAATTTTAAATATGCTCAGAGAAGTCAAACCGATCAGGCAGATTGTGTTAAGGATATTGCAGAGAATAACGAATCTTTGACAATGAGATATGAAAATATTGTTTTGGAAATGGAAGGAAAATTAGAGGATGCCAAAGCTCAGCTGAAAGAGAGTTTCAAGAGAAATTATCTTATTAAGGAAAAATACAGAAGGTTACAACGGGTTAAATATTTTCTATACGTGGCCGTCACGTGTAGAAATGGTATAATAAATACATATCAAATAGCTGCAGCTATTTAATTCTGGTCCTCCATTTACAATAGGGCTTTACGTAATGTCAAATTGGAGGCTGCGCATGATAATGAAATACTTCAGGGAAAAGTGGTTAATATTTATTCATCGATTCTTCAAAAACTTGCACCAAACCGTAAAACAAAAGTTGCTCGGCCTTCAAAGTATCACAAGCGACTCAAGTCATTCAAAAAATTTTCCAAAAAAATGAACACGAAATTTCGAAGAATCCTTCTGGCGTCGAAGAAACTAAACCAAGAGCTTCTTTTATCGAGAAAAGCTTTGGCAGAAAAAACAGCACAGTACGAATCGTTGAACAGTTGTTTCGCCAAACTGAAGCACGAGTTGGAAACAGCTGAAGTCAATTTGAATGGTCTCATAAAAGAGAACAGCTCACTGAGAAAGAAATTCGAAGACACCAGAGAGTGGATAGAATTGAAGATCGGCAAGGAGCGTCATGAAAAATCAAATTTTGCTCAATACAAGGAAATGCAAAGGAACAGGGAATTCAGGAATATGAAAAACAAAGCAGAAGAGGATTTCGCTACTATAACTCAGCTGCGAAACAAGTATCGAATAAAAATTGAATTATAATTAAAATTACAGCAAATGATTTTCTCATCATTTACAGGCTTTTGCGTTCGGAATCCGCTAATGCGAACAAAGGATTCCTGTTAAACAGTTATAAAAGTCAGCTGGCAGATATGACTAAAGAAAAAGATGAGTACGTGGTAAAATTGAAAGAACTAGAAAACGAAATGGCCGTATTACGTAACAACAATGGACAGTTGAAAGCTAAGGTACATCTTTCATTTTCACATATTGTCTAGCAATAGGAACGCTTGTAACATTTATGTAGATTTCGCTATTGAGCAACGAGAAGGATAAGCTATTGTTTGAGTCTGAAAAAATGGAGAAATTACAAAGCGACGTAAAGGACAAGGTATTGTAATAATTAATAGGTTGAACTATAAGTAACTGCCATTTATTTTAACGCATTTCAACAATAGCTTGAAAATCGACTAACATCGAGGCATGAGAAGTCAGTGTTACACGAGATGGATGCCATGAAAGCAAAGTCCGATGAAGTTGTCAGAATCTTGAAAAGTAAACTAAATGCATCTGAAACTTGCAATGCTGAATATTTTGTAGCCATAAAGGTATTTCTATGGATCAGAAGTTTTTAAACTCTGCGCGTAAATTAATGAGAATATGTATAATCAGGAGTTTCTCAAAGAAATTCATGAATGGCAAACGGAACTCGAGGCTGAGGAAAAATTGAGTACCAGCGAAGCCAGCGAGCGAGAAGCTCACGAAACGGCCTGTGCAATTTTGAACATGACTCGTGGCCAATTGTCAAAATTCATGAAAGACAAATCCCCAAACACAGTACGTACGAAGAGCAGCAACAGCAACGATAGAATCATCGTTAAGGTACCTAGATAAACAAATGTTACTATTGCAGGTCAATTGCTGGTTATTGGATTTTCACAAAATCACAGCAAAAGCTAACTTCTCGCAACCCCTGACCAAATTTTTGATTAAGAAAGTCACGGAACAAAGGAAATGACAAAATTCTTAAATATTTGGCAGACCGAAGTTTATTGATAGGAAAACTAAAGTTACATTGTCATCTCATTAAAGGTATGCTAACAAAATTAGGTAATCATTTGACCGTGGCCAAACTCCATTTTTTTTTTGAAAAAGTATCTTTTTCATCCTAAATGGAATTCGGCCAGTTTTCATAAAAGAACCGTCACCCATATGTGGAGTCCACATGTCGTTCTCAATCTTCTAACATCGCATTAGAAAAAAATAGACAATTCCAAACCGATTGAATCCAGCACCGGTCTACAGTCAAGAAGCTACATTCACTGCCTACTATGATAATCAAGTCCTAAAGTATGATAATCATTAAACCTAATTGCCATTCCTGTCATCGTTAGACGTCACGGAATCAGGAGCAGCTTTTTGCAACTGAGCGCTCTGGTACCTATCATAATTATCAATCTGCCCGAATATCTTCCTACCAGGAATTCTATCATCATCCTTGACATTAACTTCCGTCCCGATCTGCACTGACCAAGGAAGCCCATGACCACCCCTCGTGTCATCCCGTGCATTTACGTGATTAGCTAATTTACGTTCGTCGTCAGAATCCATAGAATCCAGATGCATAGAATTTTCTTTGAGCGCAGCCCGATCGTGATCTTCAATCCTGGATTGATAAGGTGCATAAGGTCTATCGTAATATCCTGCAGCACGTTTAGGGTAAGAGTCATACGAGTCATATGTGTCGTATGGACGTACAGATTTGTATCTGAATCTATTTGGATCAACGTTGCCTGGTATACGTTTATAGGCAGTTGAACTGGCGACAGCTAGAGGATGCGACCTGACAACGTCATCATAAGGACGTCCGTAGGATCTGAGATCTACTGGCTTTCTGATGACCTCAGGTAGAGTGGCGTAATAGATGATTCTTTTCGGTTTTGCCGTCACCGATTGGGCTCCTCTGTTTCTGCCGTAGATGTCAAGCTCGTCGTCGTGATGACGATTGTAATAATACGGTGATTCGTGGGATCCACGTGGGTAATAGTCACGTTCCATTCTGTAGCGATCAGGGTAGAACCTCCTAGGTATGGCCATGTCGAAATCACGTTCTCTTACTTTGTCACGATACATCGGCACGTAATCACCGTAATTTCGGGATATTGGCATCTCTCTTGATTCTCGAATATCCGGGTAATCGCGTCGATGACTCGTTATGAAATCTGTCTTTGGTGCTTGACGACTTCGTCCATTGTCAGACGGCATATTATTTCTGGATACTTGATCGAGATTGGTACGATGACGAAATTCTACTGAAATTGGTTGCTTCGCCCAGGTTTCCGGTGAGTTCAGACGTGCCTCGCGGACATTCTTCGAACTGGAAATTTTCTCCATTTGACTGTCGGCTTCGCGACGCACTCTTGGTGCTCGTCCCATGCTGTCTATATGCTGTCTAGTAAAATGATGCATCATCGGCTCGTCCAAGATACTTCTGCGTTCTCTTTCATAAGCGTAGTACGCTTCGTCACTTGGAAATTCCTCGACATCCTCGAGTCCTTGACGATCTCTTAAAAAATCCTCAAAGGCAGGTTCTTCGATGAGTTCCTCATTCGAACGATAATGAAAATCCTCCAAATCACGTTTCTCTCGCGAGTGCTCATCTTCGGATTCCTGAATGTTCCCATCCTCCAAGTTGATCCTAGTCGCTCGGAGATCTTCGAACTCCTGTGGTTCCTCAATGGAGGAAAGTCGGCCGACGCCGCTGACGCTGCGAACCTCGAATGCTAACGAGGACGCCGATGGGTCCAGACGTGGCCAGGATGGGCGCTCTAACGAATCTGAATTCGAGTATCGCGATACGTCCCAGGCTGTCCCAACACCTTCACCGTGTATTTTGGTTAAAGATGAAAGGGCCAAAATCGCCCAAAGGATGTAGGACATCTTTGACCTGTCCGTTAAAAGAAAAGAAAAAAAATGGATAATTGTCGATTAATAAAATCGAAAGCGATACATAGGATCTGGATTGATCAAGGTCAAAGGAGTGTTTAAGTCCAATCGATTCAATGTGAATGTCAGTGTAAAATTTACATTTTCAAATATCACAATAGAATATCAAAGAACCAATGAGATTCGGACCTTTTCGCCCGGTGCTGGGATCCGATCTGATCGTCCTCGAACGTTAACTACAAATGTACAACCAGCGGGTCACTAATTCTCCATAACAAATATAATTTCCCCGGTGTTTCCGGCAGCATTATACCAAGTTCCGGCGTCCGGACGGAACTCTCATTGTCTGGTCATTTACATGAGACTATGACACTGCGATTGAAAACTTTCAAGCTTGATTCACGCCTCGTGTTCGCAACATGAATATTTCCAGGTTCACAATATTGATCATTATTATTATCATCTGTCTTTCTTTCTTTGTTCCGTAATGATGCGTCAACCATAGAGCGAAGCAATGAACGTTAACAAAAACGTGTAAATAATAAAGGCTTTCACGAGGCGCACCTACGATGTACCTACACAGTTCAATGATCGCTCATGATCATGGCTTTGATCAGTCTCACGATAACTCACCACTATATGAATTAGTATGAAACGTGCAAAATATAACTATACGTGTAACAAGAACCGTATCAGAATGTCACTATAGCGGAACAATTCTCCAAGATAACGTTCATACATCCTGCTCTTAGTAACGTTATGCTCCCAAGGTTTACAGTTAGGCCCGGTTCAATGCACCGTCTTATTTTTAGCATAAACGTTCGCAAACTTGTCATCACTTCGTGTTGCAAAATATTAAAACCTGCCTAGACTTTTATTTGACCAAATATAAATTCAATGAGGTATAAGCAATTCGCAGCTATTTTGAAATCATACTGAGCTTCTTTAATGATATCAACAGCTTTCCATACCACAGGATTGGAGTTGGTAAATCACTTTGTTATTCATGAAGGCGCGTCGGCTTGAATTAGTTACGGATTTGAGTGACATTAATTATTGAAATAATTGAAGAGTATACCTTGTGCTTCCGTGTAACTCTTTCCGTGGAGATTTTAGTGTTGTTCGTTCGAAGTGCTCCTGGTGACTGAAGTCACGATCCACGGTGCTTCAGGTATGTATGTAACGCGAAGCTGTTCAGGTGCAATGAGCTCTACCCCTCTACGAGAAGAACTACCGTTTTTCATCGGCGAGCATAGGTCTCTCGGACCGTAGTGCCTGTACCTATACTAAGAAAAGAGATTCCAAGCGTCTGACGCACGTTACGAGTCTCTTTGGTGTTTCAGGACATCCTGTGGACATCTTAGGGAGGTATTGCATTGTTTGACTTGGTAGGAAGTAGGTAAATAGCCAAAATTCATCGTACTTGAGAAATATATCATTTTTTTTTCTGATAGTCTTTCAATTACATTTTCGAAACTGTTCAGATCATTTCAAATTTTAGGTATCGTGCTCCGTCTTGTATCCATTTCTGACTGATGATTAACTTTTAAAATGTGGGAGCAAACAGGTTTGAGTTGAGGAACGACCGCATAAGAAGCCAATCATCCTAATCATGGCAAAGTTAGGGCTACTCAAAATGACAATTTTCTAAATTCTTCTTACACTTTTTCTACCGCACGTGCTGGAGTTCACGCGCGCTGTCATAATGGAATAATCTGACATGACATTCACTCAAGAATGAGAGCAGATTTACCGTACAAACTTTTGTCTTATCATAATTTTATCATCGACTGAAGATAAATAGACCAAGGGATTCCTATGTGTCCGATCCGCGTGAGTCTGATATCCTGACGCATTGTTGAGCATGCTGCCATCTGTGCGTGGAATCAGTTGTTATTTCGTTACCTCGGATAAACTAGATTAAGGAAGCCGATAGGTTGGACTTTTCTTGATTCTTGATCTGAATCTTCTCAATTATTCGATTATGGCATAAAACTGAAATTTTGAAATCTGCGTGATACTACACGCGGTAGAATGCCTGATCAGTCTCTCGATATTTAAAGTTCCAATAGTCTCGTGTACATGGCGCCACAGTTTTCTCAGAGATCAGTAGGGAGATGCACAACGCTACGGTTTCAGGCGATACCAAAAACATGAAGCTAAATCCTAGCGGCGAGTCCGGGAATAGAATTTTGTGATCATCGCCTCCGTCGATAATGCATATCCCGTCGTAGCCGAGCTGAACGTGATCACGAACGGGTAGCCTGGCGGGCAGAGATTCTCCACAACTTACAACTGATTCCCAGAGCAACCCTTAGAAAGAGGCCGCTTATCAGATATTGCCTAAATATTTTTTTTTGTAATCTTAAATTCAAATGTACAGTGTAAGCTCGATAAGATTTACTAAGACAAAAGCCAGCACCTTATGCCTGCCTGCGTTAAGGAGTGCAGCGATGCGGTGCTAGCTTCCATCATTATTTAACAATAGTTCGCGATCGAGTTATCGCGGTATCCAGGAAATTCTATGGATTTTCTGTGAGTGTTCTGGAAGTGCAGCGCCCACCTGAGTGTCTTCTGGATGCACTTCTTGGCCTTCACGGATTAGCTGCACCAGCTCCGGTAAATACATCTCTACGTTCCATCGTTTACACCGTCACAGTTTTTTTTTTTAAATTCAAGATAAGTACGTAGCAGGTACAGGGGCTAGACACCATTTTCTCGTATAGTCTCTAGTATATCTCCACTGCGTTCCATCGTTTGTACCTTCATAGTTTTCTTTTAAATTCAATATTAGTGCGTAGCAGGTACAGGGTCTAGACACCATTTTTGTGAGTTTTTCAAAAAAGTTATAGGTAGTATAGTTGTAAGTTAAAGGGAGTATAGTTATAGGTAGTAGAAAAAATGTATTAATCCGTATGCGTGCGAGAGAGACGCACTTAGAGCCCTGCTGTGCTAATGAAACGTACGCGTTAGGAGCATTACAGGGTGCGTCAACGATATCCTGAAATGCAAACAATTGCCGTGCACCGATCAGCCTGCATCGTCACTCCATAGCATCGTTGACAAACCCTGTACGAGTTGTAATTGACAAACCTGTCGTAGGGGGCATCACTTTTGCCAAGGAGTACTTGAGCGAGGGGGAGGGGGTACCCAGTGGTATACAAAGAATGTATTATTGGTGCAGA